TTGAGGGGGTGAGGGGGCGGGGGTGGGGGGAGAGGTTCATCCGAACCCCCTTAGCCCGGAAATTACATAGGCAAAATTCATTTTGTACTTCTTTGTTTTGAATTACTTTAACACAAATTAGTGTGTCACTTGCCACAATTGCTTTTAATTTTATAACTTTTTTTTTTTTTTTGAAACATTTAGCGGTAATTCTGCCTCCGTCACTGCCCACTAAGGTTTAGACAGAGGAAAACAAATTATTTTTGGTGCCTCAAGCTGCAACCTCGATTAATTTCACCTACCTCTAATTAGCATAGATATCGTATAACTTTGTACATTAATGCTTGGATAGATAGAAATAAATTAGCTAGTGTTTTTTGCCTCCACTAGCATTGTTGCTTGTGTTATGGCGCTAACCACTATTTTTAATTGCAGCTAAGAGAGTTGTGAAGCTTTCAAAGAATACAAAGCACATGGATGTTGATGGGGCTATGGGAATTCACTTACAAGATGAAATAATTATGGACATTCTCTTTATATATTACCTGTACGGTCTCTTCTTCGATTCAAATGTGTTTCAAAGGTTTGGAAAAGGTTAATCTTATTCGAGCCTTACTTTAAGATGAAGCATCTCAATCGCGCCAAAAATGATCAAAATTCCCGAAAGTTTCTTGTTTGCCAAATGTCCCTTGATACGGATAATATGTTTTCCTTCTATAGTTCTTCTTTGTCTTCATTTCAACTGGTTAAGGATGTGCAAAAACTTGATTGCCCTTCAAACTGTAGACCAAGTCGTTGCAGAATCTATTGTTGTCGCGATGGCTTGTCTCTTATTGGGGTTTGTAGTTATCCTAACAAACACCTCGTACTTTTGCTATGGAACCCCTCCACAAGAGAATCCGAAGTACTCCACTGTCCTGAATTTCCATCGGAGGAATTTAGTACTTTCGGATTGGGATATGACTCAACTATTGACGACTATAAGATCCTTAAGATTGATCTTAAAGCACCTGGCGAAATTCTCGCGCTGAAAAGTGGTTTTTGGAGAAAAATTGATAAACATCTTACTGGTGTTTACCCTGTGTTGTCTGGTATGGACTCTTTGGCATTTGTAAATGGAGCATTTCATTGGCTTGGTTTGTCGCTCAATGATTTGCGGTGTCATTTAGTATTTCAAATGAAGTGTATGGACAGATCCCGTTGCCATATGGAATGTGCTTAATAATGGAAACCACTGACCGTGGCGTCTCAGTATTGAACGGAATGCTTTGTGGTTATTGTATTAACAATCGGGGGAAGGACAGTTTTTGCGCATGGGTAATGAAAGACTATGGTATCAAGGAATATTGTTTGTTATACAATGTACCGATCTTTATTCAGCCATACCCGGATATAGGTTTGCAGATGGTGAAGTGTTGCTCTATGCTAGGAATTGGTTTTTTTCTGTAATTAGGACATCCAAAGGACCATTTGGATTATGTCCTCAATCTAATACTTTTCGTGAAGGATTCGTTTGTACAGAGAGTGTGATCTCTCCAAAATTACATTATGAATGATCGAGACACTTGTTTTATTTTTCCCCCGGTAATCATGTTACAACCTCTTAGTCTTATAAGTTTATCTATCGATTGACAATTTTTGGTTCAAAAGTGCATTCATTCACCAAAGCTTTCAGCTTGCTAGTTTCATGTTCTCAGTGGTGTAGTTGATACTTGATAGTTGTTTTGCTCAAGTAGCTAATCTTTATAATATAGTTTGAAACTTTTGGAAATTATATAACTAAGTTTTAATATCATGAAGTTCAACTTTCTGGTGCAGCGTATTTTGGTGGGGAGCCATACCCACTATTAAGTGGTGTCTAGATTTTTTTTACAAAAAAGTTGAGAGGATAACCCCGGGTAAAAATTTATTCGCTATGACTACGTGACAATTAACGGTTGGAAAATACCCACCTAGAAGGTTATTTTCAACTTTCCTGCACTTTCATGCGTCTAAAATAGTGTATTCATGCTCTTTGTCACATTAGCGTACTAACAAACTTCCAAATTTAGAAAAATATTCAGGATCAACAAGACAAAAATAGCTCGGGGCATCCAATATACGATACCAAGTTTGGATATTATACCTTGCCATATTTGGATAGTACTTGCCCAAAGTGTGTTTTGCGAAAAGAAAGAAAGGGAGAAAGAGGGAATTTTGAAATGAAGTGAAAGGACAAAAAGTAGAGACAATGAAAGAAGAGAAAGCAAAGGTAAATGAACTGTAATAATAGTGCTAGATAAGTAGTATATAAAGTAACAACAATAACAAATCAGTATAATCTCACGTGTGGGGTTTAGGGTAGGGCTGTTCATTTGGATCCGAAATTCGAAATCCGAATCGATCCGCTCAATTTCGGATTTCGGATATTTGGATCGGATGTCATAACAACACTTGCATCATAGTCGACTACATAGACAGCCCCCTAAAGTTGGCACGTCTTTTCCTTAGTTATTTACTTGGAACAAGGTCTAGAGTATAATGACCAAGCCTTCCAGTACGATACAGATTAAGCAATTTAGCAGCCACTTTACGAACATAATCATCCGAATCAGGAGGTAAATTAAAAGCATCGCGAAGGACAGCAAATTCTGCTTTGATAAGCTGCAGCATGATCTCCTCATCCTCTAGATTGCAATTGAAAGATGAAACTACTTCGAAGAGCATTCTTCGGACTTTGTTCACAATGAAATCCTGTATGAATAATCTCATATGTCATATCCAACTATTCTAATGGGGAAAGAACAAGGAGTCGATATAAGTTGAGCTAAAAACTGGACTATATTCATGTTGTAAAATTCCCATATTATCAGTAGTGTGCCAAATGACTTGGATGGCTGGCCTCTAATTTTGTAAGAGCAGTTTCATTACAAATGACTAAAGAAACAAAACAAGCATACAGCAAAGAGGAAAGAAGTACGTTATAACCGATTTCCTTTTGAACTGCTAACCTGCGTGTGATCTGTTAAATATTGCCGCTTCTGTCTTCTCTCTAACTCAGAACTATCATCAGCACCTGATAATGACAACTTGGCCCATTTTTTGTATTCATCGCTCAAGTTAAAGATGGATAGAAAATATTCTGCAAGCTCCACTTCCCCAACCAAGCAATCTCTGATTGCACCTGCATTTAGAATAAAGGAAATTGGAGTATCAGATGACAAGTCACTTCTAAACTCACACTATGTTCTGATGAATCCAAAAGGTTAGCAAAAGAAAATGTTTTGGAAATTCTACCTGTTAAAGCTAGATTAGAGCACACCTCTGCATTGAGAATCTCAGTCGGGAAAACACCAGGGGTGTCTAACACATAAATACTAGGATGGCTGGCGATCTGATTTTGTAAAAGTAGTTTCATCAGGAAATGACTACAGAAACAAAAAACGAACAGAAAACAGGAAAGCTAAAACCCATAAGTTGAAAAACAAGCTGCAGGAACTCTGCGAAAAATCCAAAACCCAGATGTACTAACCTTTCTAGATCACAACTTTTCTGGTTGAAGCCAGATTATAATAATACAAAGAAAGAAAAAAGAGCCTCTTTTTTTTTAATAAGTAAGAAATATATACCTTCAAGCCACTAATATTTTTTGTTTCTCCGGGATCAGGACTCACTATGGCATGCTTTAATCTTCCTTTCTCTACAGATCAAAGAATGTTTCAGGATGTTGGATTGGATAAGTTCTTTACACTAATGTCTTTCAGAAAGACGAGAATAAAACAGCTAACAAGAACTTAACAACTAACAGTTTGTACTAAAAGTTGATGTACCCGCTGCACTGATCCTTCCAATTTGATGCAATGAGTTGGCAAGGGCAGACTTCCCAACATTAGGAATGCCAACTAGCATTAATGTTATTGTCTGACCACCATGACCAGTCTTTGGTAATTCTCGAACTCTAGCTCGCAGAAAGTTCAGTAACTGCAAGTCTGCAATATGTCAAGATTTATATCTGACGCAAATGAGCATGACATGCAAAACAAAAGGTTGTCAGATCAACTAGTGATGAATATCAAACCCTACTCCTTTTTCATTAGTACAATATCGATGCCAACCCAACAATAATTAGTCAAATTGATAAACATACTCAAATGGACCAATGTATTTCGGGTGCACACCATTAACCGAAAGGCCACCTGAATTCAAATGAAAGCTAGGGAACTTGGTAACACAATTTATATAATCTTTGAAACATTGCATCACTGCAGTGTTCTACTCTTTATACTACTACAACATAGGGTATTGTCAAAGTACTGCCTCATATATTAAACATTAAAGAATTCCTATTCTGTCTGTACAAAAAGAATGTTACCGAAGTAAACAATCTAGAAAGCTAGCCATCAAATACATCAACATGGAACCTCAGTGGGAGAGTATGTTCTGAATTATGGGGAGTACTAGGCAAGTTCCAGACAGATTGGTGCAGCTAGAACTGAATAATAAATTCAGGAGTATAACTTGAAACAAATAATCGTTACAAAATCCAGATTATGAAAGTAATATTAGCGAAAATATTCTTTCAACTACAAAATTTCATGAAATGCATGTCATTTTTCTTTATAACATTGTAAAATGAGCACTTACACCAGTGACCTCAAATACTGAAGTAAATACTACAACAACAACATACCCGGTGATTTCCCACAAGTGCAGTTTGGGGAGGGTAGTGTGTACGCAGACTTGCCCTATCCTGGGAGGGCAGAGAGGTTGTTTCCGGTAGACCCTCGGCTAAATAAAATAAGAAACAAAGCAGTGACACTTTTATACACGTACCTCTTTGATTTTATCTTTATTATGGGAATTGACTCCAAATACAAGACACTTTTGTTGCTCAAAGTATTTCAGCCATTCCTGCAGGATACAAATGTAAATAAATATCTGCTCATGCAAAAGGAAGCGAGCAAAACGTATCTACAACATAAAATCTGCAATAATTTCGGATCGGAAGTAGCGCCTAACAACAAAAAGCTATAAGGTATGCTGCTTGTGATCATATAGAGGGGTGGGCAGAGCAGGGGGAATCTAGGAATCGGCTAGATGAACAATTGTCTACTGAAACAGCAATGTTTACCACACTAAGCTCCCGTTTGGCCATAAATTTTGGCTTCACTTTTTCAATTTTTTTTGAAAACATTGTTTGTTTGTGAAATATGATCATGTTTCGGAAAAAAAAATTTCAAAAATTCTCAAGTTTCCAAAAACTGGTTTGACTGTTTTTGGGAAAAAATGTTTCTTCCACTCACAAAACTTCAACTTTTCTTCAAATAAAATGCATGTCCAAACACAACTTCAACTGTCAAAAATTATTTTTCAACACAACTTTAAAAATTCTTTTTTCAAGTTTCAATCAAATCTATGTTCAAATGCTAGCTAAGAAAGTGAAGAAAAAAGTATCACCTTTAGTTGAATGTGATTTGCTAAATCTGTCTTGTTCAGAATTATAATGCGCCTCGAGGAAGGTGACAAATTCTTAATTAGCTCACATTTTGATGATAAAGGAATCTGAAAAAAATCAAAGGGTAAAAAGATTAAAAAATTAGATGACAGATACACAAACATATCCTTGTTAATAAGGGAACTAAAACATGTTTGAACATATGTTGAATTATAATTGAGTCCTTATAAAAAATACCCACCATATATGTCATTGACAACTTTGTCAATTTTTTTATTTTATTCATAATGGTGGTGTCCGCGCCAGTTTGCGCAATCTCGACTAATCCACCAAACAGCCTGCTATAACCCACAAGCACCAGTGTCGAGTAACCCTATCCATTGAGGATGGATTAGACAGGTTCACCACAAGTGTTGTAGCTGGGATTTGAACATAGAACCTCCCGGTTGTCACTCATATGCCTCAATCACTCAGCCATCCCTTTGGGGACTTGACAACGATGTCAATATATCAAGCTATGTTGTTGCTTTTCCTTTTTATTTTATTATGTTTGTGTTGACACTTGAGATAAAACTTAGAAAAAGGCTCTGGAAGATTGAAAGACTAACTGGTAAGATCATTACCTACCAAAAGAGGCCAAAAATAATGGTCTATCGCTCAATTGCAACATACATCGTGAATTGCTAAACTCCAACCCCCAAACCCCACTACACAAAGCCAAAGTTACCACTTTGTTCCCTTGGCGACTCAAACCCCCCAACTTTATGGTTAGAGATGGAGAGTTTACCACTAGGCTATCCCTCCTGTTTCCATAACTGATACGTAGTCAGAGTAGATCATGCAGGACTTAAGTCGTGCGAGGTCAAAACTTGTTAACAAGAGAACACACATCTAAGAGAATAATGTATTATCCAAAGAACCACATCACAAAACAAAACACTTCCGGAGTAATACTGCCAAACTCATTCAGACATTTAATCAAACGCATGTCAGACAAAAAAGGAAAGGAAAATATCCGTGAAGGCTAAGGATATATACATACCCGCGCATCTCTGACTTCAAGGACAAGATCAACCAATGGGATTCGTTCGGCTATGGCACGAGATGCTGCAGCCATGTGAGGTGTGTACCACCATGTTGAGCCTTTATTCCTGGCCACTTCCTTAATTGCATTACCTATCTTTTGAACTAAACTAGCCGTTAACGTCATTCCTGTACAAAAGAATAGGCTGGGTCAAAGCATAGTTGGATTAGCATTTTCCCTAACAAGTAATAACTTAAGTCAAAGTTTTGTCAAAATTCCCAAATCCAACACTCAAACTGCCCAAGAATTGGAGGAAATAAAGCTAAGTTAACCACTCAGTAGCAATAATTCTATATGCTCTCCCCAAAATGGACAGAAAGAATGAGTTTTTAATAACAAAAGCTGCTAGCTGCAAATGCTAAAGCAAGTGAAAAAGCTCAAAGAAACACATAAAAACGTACAAAGGTTCGATTTTTACCTAATTGGCAATGTAACTCCAGTAAGTAGAAGTAAGCCCAGCTTGTCTTATTCTTGTTGAAAATCTAAAACCCACTTGAAACTGAAGCCATTCAAATCAAAAGTATTGTCAAAAAGTTCCCACATACAGAACCAGTTGTGAAATGATGAAGATATAGATAACCAAGAAAAAGAAGCAATTTTCAAAAGAGATCCTTCTTTGGCAGCGCCTTGCAGTTGCAGATACAGTTCATTCAGTTTTTATACTTGTACCAAGTTACAACTTTTGAAATTATAAATATTTAAATTTTGATGTGACATTTTTATTAAGCTCACTTTTAATAAAGGGAGGCATGATACACTAAGCTATCGTTATTGTGCGGGATCAGAAGAAGAATCGAACCACAGAATTCTATTGTACAGAGTTTTATCTTGTATTTTTACAAAAGACTTTTTATACGGTTAGAACATGTGACCCTCTTGATCACATTATGCCAAGGCTCCCCTTCGTTAAGCTAATTTTTAATGATTATTTTAATTTCTTTTACTACTATTACTTACTTAAACATATTAAACGAGATGTAAATTATGTGAACTACTATCAAATATTTTTGTTTACCGTTGGATGTAGTGCAGACGGTTGAAATTCAAAAATAGCCAGATTTACAAATGATAATTAAAAAATAGTCACAGTTTCAAAAATAATTGAAATTTAGTCACTTTTCATGTAAAGATAAATCTGAAAGAAAATACTGTTCAAAATCCGAAAAATATTCCAACATAATATACTGGAGTTCCAGCATAATATACTGGAATATACCGGTCCATCATAATATGCTGGAAGTCCATACACATGTGCTCCAATCTCTAGTATATAATGCTGAAACTTTTTGTGTGTTGGAGTTCCAGCATAATATGGCGGAAGTTCATACACATGTGCACCAATCTCCAGTATATTATGCTAGAACTTTCCGTATTGCAGCAAAATAGTGGCTATTTTTTAATGACTTTGCAAATGCTGACTATTTTTCAGTTACCAGTTCTAACTATTTTCACAGTGCAATGCATGGGCGATGCGCAAAGGCCCGAGTAGCAAGCTATCTCACGGGCCTTCCTTAAAAAATTAAGTTAATATCGTATGAGTCAATGACCCACATATCAAATATCAAACCGAGACTACATTTGATTTTAGCCTAAAGGCCCAGAAAGATATAATAAACTATCAAATATCACTTGTGAATTATGGACATGAATTTTATTAAAGAGATTGCTATTCTAAAGATCATGGTATAAATTCAAGAAGTGGCTTTATATTGATGTTGTTAATATACATTTTCTTATTTCACATTTTATTTATATAAAATATTACACAAATTATTGGCATAATACATATGCAAGCCCTCAAACTTAGCTTTAGTTGGCAAGTATGCCCTCCAATTTTTGGTTTGTACAAGTAGGCACCTCAACTTGTCTCCACTTTGTCAGTTGAAAATTCAAATTTACAAAATGATCATCTAAATACGTTCGAAATTTATGTGTCACACTAATGCTACGTCATCATTTGTGTTTACATATTTAATTTTATACTACTTGAGGTGCCTACTTGTGCACACTCAAAATTGGAGGGCATACTTGCCAACTTAAGCCAAGTTTGAGGGCCTGTTTAGATAGGCACAGTTTGGTCAGTCGTATTTATTTTGGCTGTGACACTGTGAATAAGCTGCTTCTATTTTCCTTTGCACTAAATCTATGTTCAACCATGCTCGCATTTCTCGTATAGCTTCTTCCCATCTTCTTCTCACCACAATAAAATCTCTACAAACTCTCACTACTCAATCATCACCCAAATTTTCATTCTCCATTTTACAATCACAACAATGCACTCAACAAAAAAACCCACAAGATTTTCTCTCCTTATGTTCCACTACAAAATCTCTCTTTCAAACCCAACAAGCCCACGCCATATCCATTACTCATGGCCTTCTCCCTATCAGCATTTCAATCTCCGCCGCACTCATTCTCCGTTATGCCGCCTTTTCATCAGACCCAAGAATCATATGGACACTGTTCGATCAAAGTCTTCCTTTTTCGCGTTCTGCGTTTCTTTATAATACGCTTATTCGAGCTCAAGTGATTATGGGTGTAGCGGATTATAGTGGGTTTGAGATTTATAATGGGATGTTGAGAAGTGGCGTAAAGCCGGATGATCATACTTTTCCTTTTGTGATTAAGCTTTGTTCGGATTTTATGGAGGTTAAAAAAGGGTTGGAAGTTCATGGATTGGTGGTGAAATCTGGTTTTGATTATGATGTGTTTGTGAATAATACGCTGATATTGTTTTATGGGAATTTTGGTGATTTGGTGGGTGCGCGAAAAGTGTTTGAAGAAATGCCTGAAAGGGATTTGATTTCGTGGAACAGTATTATTCGGGTGTTTTCGGATAATGGGTGTTATTTTGAAGCTATTGGGATGTTTAGAAAGATGGGTTTGTGGTCCGAGTTTAAGCCGAATGAGGTAAGCGTTATGAGTGTATTGCCTGTTTGTGCAGTGTTGGAAGATGGGATGGTTGTTAGTGAGATTCATTGTTATGTGATTAAAGTAGGTTTAGATTGTCAAGTGACTGTTGGGAATGCGTTTGTTGATGCATATGGGAAGTGCTTAAATGTTGAGTCGTCAAGACGAGTTTTTGATGAGATGGTTGAAAGGAATGAGGTTTCTTGGAATACAATGATTGGTACTTTTGCTCATAATGTGTTTAATAACCATGCATTGGAAAGTTTCAGGTTTATGATTAATGAAGGTTGGAAAGTAAATTCGACTACAGTTTCAAGTTTGCTACCTGTCTTGGTTGAACTTGGCGAATTTAGTAGGGGAAGAGAAGTTCATGGCTTTTGTCTAAGGACAGGTTTAGAGTGTGATGTCTTTGTTGCGAATGCCTTGATTGATATGTATGCAAAATCGGGGCGTTCAGCTCAAGCATCTGCCATTTTCCACAAAATGGGTATTAGAAATGTTGTGTCGTGGAATACAATGGTAGCAAATTTTGCTCAAAATAAGCTTGAGTTAGAGGCTATAGGACTTTTCGCGGAAATGCAATCTTGTGGTGAAACTCCAACATCTGTCACGCTGACAAATGTTCTTCCTGCATGTGCACGAATTGGTTGTCTTCGTTCAGGAAAGGAGATACATGCCAGTTCAGTAAGAAACGGGTCTGTCACTGATCTCTTCGTCTCAAATGCTATAACCGATATGTATGCAAAATGTGGTTGCCTTAATCTGGCCCAAAATGTGTTTGACATGTCTCTTAGAGATGAGGTATCTTACAATATACTCATTGTTGGTTATTCACAGACAAGTTATTGCTCCAAGTCTCTTGTACTGTTCTCTGAAATGGTGACGACAGGGTTGAAGCATGACACTGTTTCCTTTGTTGGAGTTCTCTCAGCATGTGCAACTATTTCCGCGATTAAACAAGGAAAGGAAATTCATTCATTTGCAGTGAGAAGATTGTTTCATGAACATCTCTTCGTTTCAAATTCTCTTTTGGATTTTTATACCAAATGTGGACGGATTGATCTTTCCCAGAAGATATTTGACAGGATTGAGAACAGGGATGTAGCATCATGGAATACTATGATTTTAGGGTATGGGATGCTTGGCGATTTACATACTGCAGTTGATATGTTTGAAGCCATGCGAGAGGATGGTGTTGAACACGATTCAGTCTCCTATATTGCAGTTCTATCAGCATGTAGTCACGGAGGACTAGTTGATAGGGGGAAGAAATACTTTAATGACATGCTTGCTCATAACATTGAACCATCACAGATGCACTATGCTTGCATGGTTGATCTTCTTGGTCGTTCAGGGCTTATGGAGGAGGCCATTAACCTTATTACTGGTCTACCATATAAACCAGATGCCAATATTTGGGCTGCGCTCCTTGGAGCATGCCGACTTCACGGAAATGTGGACTTGGGTTCTTGGGCAGCTGAGCACTTACTTGAGCTGCAGCCAGAGCATCCTGGGTACTATGCTCTGCTCTCAAATATGTATGCTGAAGCAGGCCGGTGGGGTGAAGCTGATAGGATCAGAGAATTGATGAAGTTGAGGGGTGTGAAGAAAAACCCTGGATGCAGTTGGGTTCAAATTCAAGACAAAGTGCATGCTTTTATTGTTGGACAAAGACTGGAAAGACTGGATCCGTGTTTGTCGCTTGAAAGCGTTGGTTGAGGTGGGTTGTTTTGTTGAGCCTTCAGAGTATGATCACTACTTGAACTAGATGGTTTTATTTTTCCTGATGGCCCAGACTTTTGTCTTTGGCAATTGTGATTTGTGAGTGTGAGATGTGATACACCTAGTTGAAACCAATATTTTTCATCCTGAAGTAGTGTGGATCAAATTCTGATTCCTTTGGAGACCCATTTGCTGCATGACGAAAAATCTTTCTTCTTTTTCGTGTGTGAGGGAAGTGGGGACATGTAAAGGAGTATTCAGCTGGCAGTGTACCTCAAAATCATGGCCAAGTGCAAGCTTAGTCGAGGACAAGAACTGAAAGGATATATCAAGAGCTCTCGTGATCTGCTTTGCTTAAGGTCTGCTGTTACTGGAGCAATTTCCAGCCAAATGTAAAGCAATCATGGATATGTGTTGACTATGCTCTTAGATTGATAAGTATTCATGGCTGGTCAATGAACTATTTGTCTTTGAGCTTCTGGCCTGCATCATGGAAATGCCAAAACCATATGAAGCACTCAAGCAGTTCGTCTTCTCGGAGAAGAGTAGCAGAACAAGGCTGCTTTATAAATCTACTTCTGCTCTAATTGCTGATTCGACTGAGACAAGCTAAATGGAACAGCATTGACAACGAAGATTCATATAGCTGATCCGACTTGTTCAGGATTGAGTCATAGTTTTTGTAAGGTGTTCTTGACCCACAACTCAATATATTTGCCATTTGACAACCATGCCTGTTACCATCATAAAAAATTCAGAATCACAATGATGGTCCCCCCGAGTCCAATATTATTGGCTTTTCATGTACTTGTAACTTCAATCTTGATTCAGCTTTTCGTATTGCTTATGAGGTCTTTCAGTGTCAGGTGACAGATTATGTTAAATTCGTTGTTTTCATTTACATGAGGAAGTACAAGTATATAATTCAGCATAAGTTCAACCGAGAAAAATTCTTACTTGCCTTAAGATGAAGGACAGGAGAAATTTTGTGTGAAAAGGGAATTGTAGAAAATATCTAGAATAAGATATGTTTGAACTTTTGAGCTTTGACATCTTTTCCATGAGCTGAAAGCTCAATTATAAAGCTTGATCGTTTCCATTGTATGGCTCTTTGACACTTAAAGAAGTTACTCTGCCATAAAGGTGCTTATATTTATTGTTTACTGCTAGTAATTGGAAGTTGACACTCAAATTGTTCTCAAGATACATACCTATACATCCAAAGAAGTACATATATAACCAAAAAAGACAATGACTTTCATCTTAGAACTTATAAAGCACAGAAGGCAAGCGAGGCGTTATTAGCACCTCTATAGGATTTACTTTGCGCATTGTCATCCCTAACCCTTCTTTCATCTCCAACGGTTCGTTAAATGGTGTAGTAAAATCAAAACCTTGGAGTAAATGAGCTATTGCAAGGTGTGTCACTTGACTTGCATATGTAATCCCTGGACAAGATCGTCTTCCAGAGCCAAATGGGATGAACTCATATTGTTGACCGCGAACATCAAACCCTGCTTGACAAGTCAAGAATCTCTCCGGATCAAATGTATCAGGATCTGACCAAATCTCGGGATCTCGTTGCAGTTTCATAGTATTGACCCACAATCTTGTTCCCTTGGGAATGTGGTATCCATGTACAATGCAGTCCTCAACAGATTCATGGGGTACTAACAAAGGTGCTGGTGGATATAATCGCAGTGTCTCTTTAATAACAGCTTGGAAATATACCAAATTCTTGATATCACTCTCTTCTACCCATCTATTTCTGCCAACTTTTGTGTCTAGCTCTTCTTGGACTTTCTTCATGACATCCCTATGGTTTAATAATGTTGCCATTACCCAATTCAAGTGAATAGCAGTTGTGTCTGAAGCATCCAATACCATACTCTGGTAGAAACAACAATTTAAGAAAAACAAAGATCAGAAAAGCAACAAAAAAACAATCTTTTCATCAAAGCAATAGATAGCTTCTTGTTACCATCAAAGCAATATACTGGTATCCTGCTATATTGTTGCACAATTCAATTCATAACATAGAGTCTCTTGAAGTGATCAAAAGGCCACCATTAGATTTGTTGTATCACGGTGGATAATGGGCCCGCCCCTCTAGCCTTCTCCACTTAAATACCAGGTCTTGTCTATCGTAGGGTTCGAACCCATGACGTGCACCTAACCCACACGTCACCGGTTGTGCTCTTACGATAAGACCACACATCACAAATCATAGCACGTTATTACTCTATTTTCTATGTTACCATACATATCATATTTGATATCGATTCGAGCCGTGGAAATAGCCTCTTGCAGAAATATGTAGGGTAAGGCTGCGTACGATAGACCCTTGTGGTCTGGCCCTTCCCCGGACACCGTGCATAGCGGGAGTTTAGTGCACCGAGCTGCCCTTTATTGAACCTATCATACTTGATATGACGATTAACCGTTGTTGTCAGTAAATTTGATAGTATAAACTTTCTATAATGTCAGTGCATACAACATAAATTCGCAGGAGTATAAAATAAGCAAATTTCAAGAAAAGCAATATATAGCAGCAAGAAACAGTACTCACCAGAGCAGTAGCTTTAATGGTAGTTTCTCTAGTATAACTATCAGCAAAATCTTCATTGCTCATCATAGAAAGCATCACATCAATAAAATCCTGTTCATTTCCAGCAACAACATCAACTTCTTCTCTCTTCTTCATATGTTCATCCAACCAATTTTGCAAAACACAATCAATATCTTTAAAAGTCCTTTTCATGAACTTAACATGCCCTTGAAAATCAATCCATTTGAACAAAGGAATAGGAAATGCATCCCATAACACAAACTCCATTGAAATATACATAAAATCTTTTAAAGCTTTCTTAAATCTTTCAGCTTCTTCTTCATCTTCTCCTTTCTCATTAAGCCTTCCATAGCTTTTCCCAGCTATCATTTTCACTATCAAGCTCAATGTCAACTTTTCTATCCAATTTGTAAGATTTAGTTTCACCGGCACATAATCTCCGGTCACCGGAAAATTATCTCCGGTGATCGAGGAATGATCTCCGGTGACTGGAAATAAAGAGAAAAGCTCTTTAATACTCGTTTGAACTTCAGAAACCCTAACAATTTTCAATTTTTCTAATCTACTACTCGAGAGAACTTCCTGAAGAACAATTTTTCGAATTTTTCTCCAATAAGGACCATAACTGGCGAGAAAAAGCATAGCGTTATTATAACCGATGTACTCGCCGGCTAAAGACGCCGGCCGGGCGGCGAACGCTTTATCGTTAGTATTCAAGCAATCTCTAACGGCCTCGTAACTGCTAACGACCAATATACGAGGTAACCCTAACCGGAAAGTGAAAACAGGACCGTATTTCTCAGCTAAAGTTGCTAGTTTTCGAGATAATGGAATGTCGTCGGCGCCAAAAAATTGTAGGAGATGGCCGATCACCGGCCAGCCACCGGCGATTTCTGGCGGTAAGGGGTTTAGAGGTTTTGAACGTTTGAAATATTTTAATTTCCATATGAAAATGGAGAAAAATGCAAAAACTATGAGAACTGAAATTGCATAAAAATGAGAAAAAAGATAATCTTCCATTTTTCCCGACTAATTTTCAAGAAACTAAGGTTTATTAGATGTGTTTTTGAGATACTACAAGGATGTATTTTTATATCATTGAGACTCTAATAATTTAATTTTTTACATATATAATATAAAATTTTAGTTTGACTTTATACTATTCGAAATTGTTCAATATGCTGTTTGTTTGATTTTTGGTCATCACGCCCTTGCATTCAACAAAACGTCTTTCTATTTATTCTTATCATTAACGAAGTTTCATAAAATGGACGAGTTGCATGTTTTTGAATTCTTCAAGAAAAAAAATTAAATCTATCTATCAATCTTTGATTATTGTTTAAGTTTACCTTTATTTTGGAGTTCTGTTGAGCAAACATAAGACTTTTATATATTTATTTTGATGGTAATATTAGAACAATAGTCTTACCTATAATAAAATTATTTAATTAACAGAGTTGGTGATAAAAAAATTCCGTTAGATTCGGTCAAGAGTAACCTTGAAAAACTTTTGCTTTACGAAGAAAGATAGAGAATAAATTTTGAATAGTATAAGTATAAATTTGATCCTTTACCTTCTTAAATATGGAAGGAGTTGGATATACTAATAATTCATATAAGACTTTCAAGAATCGTAAATAGTAAATTAATTGATCGATATATAAAAGTATAGAACTATTAAACTAATAGGAGAATAAGATTGATAAATTATCCCTTTGGGAACAAGATCCAAAAGTAAAAAGGAGACAAAAATGCAATATTTTTGGTCATTCAAGACCCTAATAGTATTATTTTTTTAATGTAGAAGAGATACCAATAATTGAAAAAGGACAAATGTGCTGAACTTATTTTTGTAAGCTGTAACTACTTCATTAATTAGGATGAGTTCACTCTAATATGAAAATAGGTAGCACAATACTAGGAGCATTGAGTCATATAATGAGAGTGACGAGAAAAAATAAGATTTATCAGTCACTTATAATATGGTTAGATATTTGAAATTCCAAATAAGGAGTAGTAATTTAATATAAAGGCAACTTAATCATGCTTACTCAGACAGAGTCAATAACGATTAAAAAATACCGACGGTCTGTTTAAGCTGATGATTATATTTGACTTTCCTTTTTTTGGATTTCTATCGATTAATCGGTATTCGTTTTGCAGCTCTGATTAATTTAGATTTGTATCCCATAAGGTTCATAAAAGAGGAAAGCGTTTCATACAAAAAGAAATTTCATTCCCAAGATTCGAGTACGAGATCTTTGATTAATAATAGAGAGGTCTTATTTATCTCACCACAACCCACGATAGTACTCGTTACAGGACTTAAAAAGGAATGCTCGCTTAAAAGTCTTAACGCAAATGGTTTAAACTAATAATAATTTGTGAATTGGTGCAGGCCTTATTTTGTAAAACAATTTATAATATATACATAAATGAAATTCAATGCACTTATGGTGCAAAAATATATGCGCAATTATATTTTTAAATAGTCTTGCAGGTAATTATGTTTAATCAATAATGATTGATAAGTAATTAAATTATCTTAATAGTGTAAAAATTATATAGTAGCCACACCAAATGCGCACATCGAATTTGACCCGAGACAATGGAAAAAAAACACAAGTTGGATTCAAATGCTCACGCATTTTTTCAAAGTGATGACTTTAGATTTATTTATTTTTTGTTTCTTACTCGTGTACGATCTCTGTATGGAAGCTCCTATTAATTTGAATTCACGGCACATATGTATGGAAACTCCTATTAATTTGAATTCACGACACATACATCGATTAAAGTGGTGAAACGCCCTGACACCCTGTACAAGAATTTTTTTAACGTGACACTACTGATTAATGGGAGAAGGATCGTATTTATTTTGCTACAACTCTAGGTGGTTAGACTTTAGAATCAACTACTCTGTCGTTTTATTTTGTTTTATCCAAATCAAATTTATGGGTGAAGCACTAACGTTGATTATCTAAAACCAATTTGGAAGTCCAAAGAATTATAGAAGACTAATTGGCGTTTTCTTCGGGTATATATTTTAAAAATCTTGCAAATTGTTTTCTCCTAAAACGTTTGTTTAAGTTCTCTGTTTAAAAAAAAAAAAAAACTCGCAACAAGTTTTTTTTTTTCCAGAAAAAGTTCATTTTTCATAAAGTTTTAAGGTGCTTTTCAAAGAATGTATGGCAAAGCACTTCAACTCCAAGACTATTGATACCACCAAGTGTTGTAACGGGATGCCTCCACCTTTATCAGAAGTCTCGAGTTCGAGCCTTGAGAATGAAAAAAATTCTAGTAAAGAGCGGTTTCCTCTTCAATGGGTCTTACGCGGCGCAAATCCGAATTTGTCAGGGTCCCAAACAGTGGCGGGGCTACATTAAAGCAAGGGGTGTCAAGCTATACCCCTTTGCCGGAAAATTACACTATTTTGCTGATATTTTATTTTATTTTATGTATGTTTACTATACGTTGATTCCCCTTGAATTTTTGATATATCTAATTATTTATATTTTGACACCCCTTAATGAAAATTCTGAATCCGCCACTGGTCCCAAAGTAAATATCTACTGGACAACGAGTGAGATATAAAATTAAAAAAAAAAAAAAAAACTAAGACAGTTGACAATTCTATTAGTAGAAACTGATTAAGTCAAGAACTCCTGTAACTCCAAATCCTTGTAAAAGATAAATATATCTACTAGGCAATAACTTATCTTTTGTATATCAATTCTTTATACTTGTATAAAAGTATGAACAAAAGGAACTCTGATTGCCAAAAAACCTTGCAATAGGGAGAAATGTACTTAGGACATTAGACACCGGCTATGACAAAGGAAGCTCAAGCAACTAGCTTTAAACACTACAACCCAATAATCTGTAACTAATCTAATGTAGAAAAAGAACAATTAAGATAATTGAAAATATTAATATGGTTTATCATATAATATGCCAGTTTCATCAATGGTTAAAAGGACAGCCCGATGTATTAAACTCCCGCTATGCGCGAGGTCCGGGGAAGGGCCGGACCACAAGAGTCTATTGTACGCAGTCTTACCCTGCATTTCTACAAGAGGTTGTTTCCACGACTTGAACCCGTGACCTCCAGGTCATATGGCATCAACTTTACCAGTTTCATCAATGGTTAAGTCACAAAATCCCAGTGCAACAAACTTTCTTGCTATCGTTGGAGTCTACTTCTTCAATGCTCTTTGTATTTGACTGTTCGAACTCCATCAAAAGATTCATATGCAAAAGATTCACTTATGCAAACGAGGCAGTTACAGAGAAGTTTGACTGTATATTGACATTTAAAAGATACTAAGCAAGTTGTTCCCTGACTTCAGGATAGACTAAACCTCAATCTATTGACAGAATGACAATCTGAAACAACTAAAATGCTTCTCATTATAACTATTTACCTGTTATACAGAGCTGCTCCTCATTAACTGCCTGCTAATTCTTTTTTCTCTTTGACTCTGATATGTTACCTGAATATGCCTTAAGCCTTGCTGCAGATAGCTTATACTCAGCTTTTTTCTTCCGCCACCTACTTCGCCTCGATTGTTTGCTTGTACCATCTGTCTCACCAGCAAAATTTTCCTTGTTATCAAACTTAGGCTTTTTTTCAGCTTCTAGAACATCTGATATTTCTCCTTTAAGTGTCTTTTTCGCTTGATGAGCTTTACAAAGGGGTAGTTTCCATTCTTTTTCTCTATAAGGTGCTAACTTCTTCAAAGAGACATACTGGTTTAAATTTTTATCCTCAATTGTTAATATCTCCTCTGGTGTTAGCCCAAATCTCTTCGCCTTAACCGGCCTATACTTGAATCTTGTCTTCAACTCCCCAATTGTATCCTCATAGTCCAACTTGTAATACTCTTCCATTAGATGTTCTTTAACTGTATTCGTTCCTTTACTCGTCCGCTTCCTCTTCTTCTTCTTCTTATGTTTATCTTCTTCAGCCACATCATTATCATCGCGAGGTTCGCCCACATTGTATCCAAGTAATTCATCTTCCTTGTCAAATTCTGGCTTCTCAAGTTCGGCATCATATTCATCCTTATCACTTCCAAATTCAGGATCCATATCATTTGCCTCATAGTAGGCATCGTCGAAAGCCTTTTTCATCTTTCTATCATGGTCATTCGGATCAAATTCCTCCTCCAAATCAGCGACATCCAACAAGCAAACCTCGTCCTCTCCTATCCCCGCGGTCTCTTTGATCTTCTCAAGCTTCTCCCTCATCTCCTTCTTCTTCAAATTCTTTAACCGTTTCAACTCCTCTTTTCTTTCCTCCTCCGCTTGAACCATCCTCTCTTCTTTTCTCTCCCTCTGCAACTTCCTCGCGTTCGCCTTCTTTCTCACTGATCCCTCCACTTTCCTTGAATGTCCCCACACTCGATCACCCCCATTTTCCTCAAATCTAAAATTAAAATCTCTCTCGTAATCCTCTTGCCTCTCAATTTCCTCCTCATCCTCCGAAAACTCCACCTCCTCCACATCTTCTCTCTTTCGTTTCTTATCATCCTTCCACATCTCTTTCCCAAAATAATCCTTTAAAAACTTGTCATCCTCTCCAAAAGCCTCATCCAACTTCTTAGCAAACTCCGTAGAAACCTCCTCGTCATCTCCTAACTCATCCCCTCTTTTCCCATTCACCTTCACCTTAAACAAGTCCTCTGCATCCGCATCCTCCTTATCAGCATTCAAAAATTCCTTTCTCAAATCCTCTTGCTCCTCAAAATATGTCTTCACTTTCTTCTCTTCTTCTTCTTCGTCGTCTTTTTTATCTCCAAACTCCGGACCCCCCTCAATCAAATGCTTAAAAACTACATCCTTCAAGTACTTTGGCTTATTCTTTTTCTTTTTCTTCTCGTCCTTAGACTTCTCCTTCAACTCGGAATTTGATTCAGATTCAGATTCAGAAAAGAATAACGTAGCATCTTTATTATTCAAAATTGGATCACCTTTCTTTATCTTAAGCAAAACATCAATGAACTTTAAATTACTCGAAGGGTTCAAATCCTCCTCCTCTTCTTCTTCTTCGTCGTCTTCAGAGGAGTCTTCGTTGTCAGAGTCATCGATGAGGCCTTTCTTCTTCAGCTCTTCCAGCCTTTGTAAGTCCTCTCTCTTCTTGTTATGCTCGTATCGACGGGCAAATTCCTCATTGATCTCAATCTTGTCCAGCTTCTCAACGTCATCATTATCACCCTCGAATAGCTTCAACCCCATATTTCATTAGTGTTTACAAAGAGCATCAAAATAACAACCTTCATCAAACACAAGAAAACTACAGAAACTGAAAGTTCACTATTTTGCCTGCATTTCAACATATAAACAGAAAGCTAACATTAACATATAATGAAACCTATCATGTGTTGCATAAAGAAAAACAAAAATACTAAAAAAATGCCAATTTGAATCAACAATATAGTTTAAAAGCTCACATTTTTATTCAGATTAAACTCATAACCATCAAGTCTTTGGACCATATGAGAAATATAAGGGGGGCATGTGAGAAAAACCAAAGCCCAAAAAAAGAAAAAAAAAAGAATTTGGAGAGGATAAATTCAAAAAGCCATGTGCTTATTCAAGTATCCTAATTCCTTACTAATTTCAAAGTAGTATCTTCTCAGACTCTTCTCAAAGATATTCAAAAATGCTAAATGGAATCAACAATACAGTAAAAGATCACTTTTTATTCAGATTAATGTCATAACTAAAGCCAAGTCTTTGGACCATATGAGAAATAATAGTGAAGAACATGTGAGAGCAAACCCCAAAGAGAAAAAAAAAATCAGATTTTTATTCAGTTTAATCACATTTCTCTCTTTTCACCCTTTATATATAATTGAATTCTATGTTGCTCGGACTCTTCAAATATACTAACGGATGCGTGTCGGATCCTCCAAAAGTGGTGCATTTTTTGGGGATCCGATACGGATGCGACAACATATTTGGAGAGTCCGCACAACATAGACTGATTTTTTTTTTTTTGTGTGTGTGTGTTTTGGAGGGGTAGATTCTACTGTCTTCTCAGATACTTTTTTGTTGCAAGTTTCTGAAATTCAGACTGTCATGTTTTGCATAAAAATCAACAAACATACTAAAGAATGCTAAATGGAATCAATAATATAGTAAAGCAAATCACATTTTTATTCAGTTTAATCTTATAACCAAATCCAAGTCTTTGAACCATATGAAAAAATGATCACATTTTTATTCAGTTATAATCACAATTCTCTCTTTTCAACCTTTTTATGACTCTACGAGTGTGTGTGTGTGTGTGTTTTGGAGGGGTAGATTCATAATAATGTCTTGTCAGATTCTTTTTTATAGCTATGGAAACACATATATATTCGAATGAAATTGAGAGAATACATTGTAGGGATCCATAGCGAAAGAAGAAGAGAAACTGGATTTAGAGAGAGAGCCTGTGTATATTTTACCTGTGTAGTTGAATTGCGCAGTCGACAGTGTTGTGGTAGGAGTAGGACACATATATAATATCTCTCGGGTTAAGGGCAACCTAGTACACGAGGCATCTACATTTATGTAAGGTACGAGTAAAAGGCCGCACTCCAATTTAAATAGCCTAAGCATCAGTGATTGCTTCCACGGTTTGAAATCGTGACCGATAGGTCACACGAAGACAACTTTACCATTGCTCTCGGGTTTTCGCTCTAAAAATAAAAATAAAAAAGCAAAATATATACGGAGATATCTAAAGTTATCACTATTTTTCAGTTAGACACATTAACTAGGCTTTGTTCTGATTGAGCATCTATAGTAGATTCAAAGTGTATCAATTAAACACATTCCGCACTACTTAAAAATACCCAAGCTCGTGTCTATTAGTGTGAAAGATTAACCTAAGAAAGAAGTATGAAAAAGTGTCCAGGAGAAGTGTGAAAATGACATGTTCCAAGTGTAATCAATGATTTAATTTGCTAACTATTACACAAATGTATGTAGGAGGCGTAACCAAAGGCGCAAATACCAAATATGGGGCGAGAAACCAAAAAGAATGTGTATTATCATTAATAGCCATGCCATATTGAATATATAATCAAAATTGTTATGTAATAATTAATTCTAAAATTACACTTAGATGAAATACTTCAATCAAACACAAAATAGCAAAACTTCATTATCTCACATTGTATCTTGAAATTATTTTCTTTATTCTAAAATTCCAAACAACAGCTAAAAGCAGTAAAGATATTAGCCTTTTCATTTATATTTAAACAACTAAAATTAACACTAGTATTATTTTTTTTATAATAGATGTATATTTTGTAATATATTTTGTACTCAATATTTGTGTGAATTATAAAAAAACCAATAGGAACTAAAACATCAAAAACAGAAATTTAAATATCCAAAAAATATATTTGGTTTGATATTTAATTTTTTAAGCGCAATGTTTAACATGTTTTAAAAGAAATAAAGTTTAGTTATATTTGACAAAATTATATTTTGAATTATTGAATGAACTGCCAAAGTTTAATTTCAAACGCGAAAATATGAAATTTAAACAACCAAATTTAAACTTCAGCCCTTTTGAAACTTGGGACAAAATGACTAAAGTTTAAACACTCCACAAATTTATGCCATGCTTTAAATATCTGTCCTAAAAGTGGCTACTTTGTCAATCGCCCCTAATCAACTGTCTACTAATTAGAGACAGCCGACGATCATTGTTTAGCACAGCAATATGCCTAAGCTTTTCCCCGTTCGTCGTCCTTTAAAACTAGTTTCTGCTACTTCTTTAAAATCCTTCAATTCAACTCCATTTCTACACAAAGAAGAACAAATCACTACTACTACTATTACAACCAATGAAAATCTCACAAATTCCTCATCCCAAAACCTCGAAGAACAACTTCGTAAACTCCGAATTTTACTCCAACAACATCGTACTGAAACTGCAAAGCAATTCTTGGGTACCCTTATTCAAAAGAACTCAGTTTCACAACTCTATACTCTTTTTTCACCTTCCCCTACAAAATCCATTTTTTCTAACTTGTTATTATCACTTTATTCAGAGTCAAAACTTATCAATGAAGCTAAAGAACTTTACTTTATGATAAGGAATGATAAAAAGTTTCCATCTTTATCAGCTTTTAATGTGTTTCTTGAATCTTTGAATAGTTTGAGAAATTACAAAGTGACCCTTGAAGTATTTGATGATGTAGTGAGTTGGGGTATAAGAGTTGATAGGTTTAGTTATGGTAAAGCTATACAATCAGCTGTGAAAATTGGGGATTTAGGTAAAGCTTTGGAGTTGTTGAATTGTATGAGAAAGGATAAGTTGAGTTTAAATGAGTTTGTGTATAATGTAGTGATGGGTGGGTTGTGTAAAGAGAGGAGAGTTGGGGAAGCGCGGAAACTGTTTGATGAAATGCTTGAGAGAAAAGTGGCGCCGAGTAAGGTGACTTATAATATTCTAATGGATGGGTATTGTAAAACGGGGAAGTTGGAAGAGGCTTTTAAGTTGAGAGAAAAGATGAAGAGTGATAATGTGGAGCCGAATATTGTGACGTTTAATACATTGCTTAGTGGACTTTGTAAGTTGGGGAAGATGGAGGAGGCTAATTGTGTTGTGGAGGAAATGAAGGGTTATGGGTTTGTACCTGATGGGTTTACTTATAGTATACTTTTCGATGGGCATTCACGACGTGATGATGTTAGTTCTTCGTTGGCATTGTATGATGAAGCGGTTAAAAAAGGAGTGCAGATGAATGAGTACACGACTAGCGTTTTGTTGAATGGCTTGTGCAAGAAAGGGAAGACGGATAAGGCTGCAGAGATCTTGAAAAAGTTGATGGAAAATGGGCTTACTCCTACTGAGGTGTTGTTTAATACCATTTTAAGTGGCTATTGCAAAGAAGGCTGTATGGAGAAGGCTTATTCAACTATTGACGAAATGGAAATTTCCGGGGTAAAGCCAAGCTGCGTCACATTTAATACTCTGATCACGAAATTTTGTGAATTGGGTATGATGGAAGAGGCAAAAGAATGGTTAAGGAAAATGCTTGAGAAGCCAGTTCCCCCTAACGTGCAAACATATAACATCTTAATTGATGGATTCGGGCGCAAGCGGGAATTCACGAGGTGTTTTGAGATTCTTGAGGAGATGGAAGATAACGGATTGAAGCCTAATGTAATTACATATGGTTCACTAATCAATTCTTTGTGCAAGGATGGTAGGCTTCTTGAAGCTGATGTAGTCCTAAATGATATGATCAGTAGAGGGGTTAAACCAAATGCACATATCTATAATATGCTTATAGATGGACATTGTATGAGAGGAAAAATGAGTAATGCTTTTGAATGTTTCGAGAAGATGGTAGAAAGTGATATAGAAACAACACTGGTTACATACAATACTCTATTAAATGGGCTGTGCAAAAAGGGTATGATCAAAGAAGCCGAGGATTTGGTTGTGCATATTCTACTCAAGGGTTTAAATCCAGATGTTATCACGTACAATTCTTTAATGTCTGCGTATTCAGATGCAGGGGACACTGGAAAGTGTTTCCAAATGTATGAGAAAATGAAAACCTCTGGCATAAAACCTACTATGAACACAATTCATCCTCTAATTAGAGTGTGCAAAAAGGAAAAGAATGAACTGGTGCTAATCGACAAAATTGTTCAAGAAATGGCCGAGATGGATCTTTCTCCGGACCGAGTGGTATATAATGAGCTCATCCATTGCTATGCGCTGCATGGAGAGGTTCAGAAGGCACTTTCCATGCACGTAGAGATGGTGGAACGAGGAATTCCTTCTGACAAGAAGGCGTACAATAGCTTGGTTATGGTGCATTTGAAAGAGGGAAAATGTGAAGAAGCCAAGAATCTTGTCGATCAGATGAAGGCTAACAATATTGTTCCCAATGATGAAACTTATAATATTCTGATTGAAGGGCATTGCAAACTTAAAGATTTTCTTGGTGCATACATGTGCTACAGAGAGATGCTTGACAATGGTCTTCTCCCGGTAGCCAATATCTGTAATGAGCTAGTATCTGGCCTTAGAGAGGAAGGAAGATTGCAAGAGGCACAAATTATATGCTCAGAAATGAGTTCTAAAGGAATTGAAGAGTGCAATACAAATGAGGATCTTTCTGCTGTTGGGAGAGCGTAGGTCAAAGAGGACATTGTACTCCAGCTCTTCGGTTAAAAATGTCAGGCAGCAAATGAAAAGCTTGTAATATATTCAAGAATCTGTGTATTCTTGTTAATTTATTTCCTCATTGATACTCGTTAACATATGTATTCTAGATACTGGATGAGATGAATTTGACAGTTGTATAAGTTATTCCTGTCAAATTCAACCTTATCTTTGTCTTCTTTGAGATATCTCTATTTTTGGCTCCCATTCATTGTTTTCCGAAATTACTTTTGGATCTTGTGGAAATTAATTGAAGTTGTATACTAGATGTTTTACATAACAATAAGAGAGAATCTCTTATTGGAAGGTGAAAGTTAGTTTCAGAAGTTATACTAAATCAAAAGTTTATTTGGTATAGCAGGATGACTCAAAAACCAAGTGGCCAAATAAGGAGGTTAAAAATATTGTAGCGTGTATAAAGCCTACCAGTTGATGAGCTCGCGGATAAGGTTAAGCAGCTCACGCTCAATATGTTTGCTTGTTGTCATTTAAATTAAAATGAGAGTATTTTCATTGTCTGGTTCCACGATGTGTCCATGTATCAGGGAAATTTTCTTCTGATGTTGTGTTGACAGCAATAGTGGCCAAATAACTAGAAGCTGAAGAGATCTGTATTCAGGTAATATGCAAATTTTGCTATACCTTTTTTGCAAAATCATATATTTTGTTATATGGAGTCTTAATCAAGTTTATGCATTGAACAGACAATTGGCTCCATCCCCATTGATTCCCATAGAATAAAAAAAGGAATTTACCGAAGGCTATTGCAGTATTTCCTGAGCCATTGGTCTTTAGTTAACTGATTCTGCACATGCATGTACTCATTGACTATTTTTTGTCAATTTCGTAGTAGGTAATGGTTTTAAGAACTCAATGAGAATAGAGAAAGGCTGTCTGAACAAAATTCTTCAAGGTAAATAATGCATTTATGTTCTGAAAAAATTAATGATGTTTTCCACAACGTTAGATGGATTTTAATATATTGTGTTTTATCTTTTCATGTGTTATGTTATTAATGTTACTCATCTATATATAGCTGAAGGTATAAAACGGAGAACCTAAAGAGCCCATTTTTTCGACCATTACACTAATTTTAACAATGAATAGTTCCTTTTACCCATTTGTATTGCTTTCAATTCTCTTATAGAACCACTGTTATTTACTTACAACAACAACAACAACCCAGTGAAATCCCGCAAGTGGGGTTTGTGGAGGGTAGTGAGTACGCAGACCCCTTACCCCGAAGGAGTAGAGAGGTTGTTTCCGAAAGACCCTCGGCTCAAGAAGACGACCAGAGATAATAAATCAGTACCATCAACAAAAATCACAGTAATAATAACAGCAACATAAGGACCAGAAAATAGATGAAAAATAATACAATAACAAGTAAATAAGGCTAGGTAATATGAAAAACGGAAGAATAGTATGAACACAACATTAACCACTAGCAGTCTAACACAAAACCCTATTAGACAAGTCTCGCACCGGAACGATGTAGAAAAATGCTCAACTACCTCTTAACCCACAGACCTAATGCTCGACCTCCACACTTTTCTATCAAGGGCCATGTCCTCGGAAATCTGAAGACACGCCATATCCTGCCTGATCACCTCTTCCCAATACTTCTTTGGCCGCCCTCTACCTCTCCTCGTACCAGCCAAAGCCAATCGCTCACACCTCCTTACCGGGGCTTCTCCTCCGCATGTGCCCGAACCATCTGAGCCTCGCATCTCGCATCTTGTCATCCATAGGAGCTATGTCGACCTTCTCCCAAATATCTTCATAATTAATCTTATCCATCCTAGTGTGCCCGCACATTCACCTCAACATCCTCATCTCTGCAACTTTCATCTTCCGGATATGTGAGCTTTTAACTGGTCATCACTCTGCCCCATATAACATGGCTGGTCTAACCACCGCTCTATAAAACTTACCTTTGAGCATCAATGGCACTTTCTTATTATACAGGACTCCAGATGCTAACCTCCATTTCATCCACCCACCCCTGTACGGTGTGCGACATCTTCGTCGATCTCCCCATCCCCCTGGATAATCGACCCAAGGTACTTGAAGTCTGTGAATCATGCCTCACGTTTATGTCCCCTGCACTCGACTCAGCGCTGAACTTGCACTTCAGGTATTCTGACTTCGTCCTGCTCAACATGGGCAGTTCCACGGTGTAAATCGTGGTTCACGTGAACCCGTGGTCCTCCGACGATATCAAATATATTATGTACATAATTTGCGAAAAGTGACTTATTATTACTTGATGGCACCTATGGTCAAAAGAGGCAAAGTGGTTCACTGGTTTTAGCCCTTTATTTCTTGCTAACTTAATGGGATCAAATCCCTTCAAAATTACTGCATTAATTTCTTTTTCTTAAGCCTTTCTTTTCCTTTTTTTTTTTGACAGCAATACATCCTTTTGTATTATTTTTCCTGAAGTATCAATGGTTCACCCATGTTCTCGAAATCCTGGATCCGCCTCTGTTGCTCAACTTGAAACCCTTAGACTGAAGGGTCTGTCTCCAAACCTCCAGCCTCTCGTTAACGCCGCCTCGCGTCTCATCAATCAGAACTATGTCATCAGTGAATAACATACACTATGACACCTCCCATTGAATATGGTGTGTCAGTGTATCCATCACCAGGGCAAATAAGAACGGATTGAGCGCAGATCCTTGGTACAACTCCATAACTACCGGAAAATACTTAGAGTCGCCTCCCATAGTCTTAACCCGCATCTTAGCTCCATCATACATGTCCTTAATCGCCATGATGTAAGCGACCGGTGCACCTTTTGCCCACTGTTATTTACTTATAAAAGATTAAGTTAATATTTGACATGCTTAGGTTTTTCTATTCTTCCCTTTTCGTTGGACTTTAGTCTTTTGAAGTTGAATGAAGGGCTCATTATGTTGTTAATGTATTTCCAATACATTGTTTATATTTCTATTACGACTTTTCTAGTGCAGTTGTTAGATCAATTTGTTTACATGATTATGGGATGCTAGTGCAGAAGTTTTCTTATTCACAATTGCAGAATGGCTTGAGCTAAGTGCAACTCACAAGGTTTGACGACCCTCATTCCTTCTCTGTCTCAATTCCGCCACAGAACCTCCTATGCATGATGTGGAAATGCCAAAATTTATTTCACAATATAATTATAGGAATAACAAAAGTCAGTATTTTTGTTTGTTGTGTTTCGATATTGCAAAGACCTTATGTGCTGATCTTTGCAAAATGACTCCTCAGTATGCTGCTTTATAGTACCATTGGCGCTTTGCTCTAATCTTATTCTTCTTTCGATGGTTTAATTGGACTTTGCCAGTCTTTCCAATTATGATCGAAACAGTGTCCATTTTAAGACCTTTATCTTTATAACCAATTGTTAGTACTACCTTTTATATTTCCAAACCGCCCAGCTTGGTTTTTGGGTGGGAAATGTTATATATACTTAAACATGATTACATAAGGAAGAGGACTGGTTGTGTATTAATACCTCATGTAGCACTGGTTCTTAGGAGGTCAAAAGTTGATAAAATTCCTTCCTTTTACATTCATGAATTCAAGAAACTCATTAGCACGGTGACCGTGGTAAAAGAAATTGAAATGGCCAATTGAATTCTTATTTACTTATCTAAATTTTGTTTAACAATCAAACTTTTGTATCTCAATAATTCCGAACTAGTCATGAGAATGGTGACAATGGTAACAAATGGGATTTTGGAAGAAAGTATCATCATCTGTAACTTTTCACATATACTTCAGGAATGTGTGTGCTATAGGCAAGGAGTGCAAGGGTAAACCTTGTTAATGTTTTTTGACTCAATATTTGTATACTTTTTAAATATGTCGTCTGGACTTCTTTTGTGCTTAATAATACTGGATTTCAATTGTTTCATTCCATTCAACTTTGAATTCTTGAATTGCATTAGCAAACTACTCTTTGGCTTCTTTAGCTGATACTTTGAATGAGAAGAAGGGTATGCAAGCAGAATTTTGCAGGTGACTTTCTATTCCACCCAAAGTCTGTGGAACGAAGCTCTGTAAACGTTCTCGGGAGGTTCAGGCTCCCAAAATGGCGTGGTTGACCAAGTGAAATCTCCCGCGAGAAATGTTGTTCTTGCTTTGATTGTTCGAAATGAGATTATTTATTTAATTAGAGTCGCCACTTGGAATATTTGTTATGGTGTCCCAAGTCACCGATTTATTTTAAAATCTCAAATCGAGGAAATTGACTCTTATTTATGGTCTGAGAATATAGAAGACCAGGTAAGGAATTCTGTTAACCCGGGAGAAGGTGTTAGGCATTCCCGAATTTCGTAGTTTTAGCACGGTCGCTTCAATCATTACGTATTTAAGAACCTATGTGCGTCTTGTCTTTTACCGCTTTTAAATTATGGCGTTATGGATTTATCTTTGAAACGGATCACGTGTGGGTGAATCCATTTTATTTGGGGCGCTAAAATCATGTCACGCGTACGTGTACACGATTAATCACGCTTTATTATTCTTAAGGATTGTTTGGCCAAAGTCGTGTGAACGCGTACCTTGATTTATTTTGGGAATCATAATTATGTCACTCGAACGTGTACACAATTACGATAGTAAATTAAAAGCCTACCTAAGTATTCTACGAATGTTTCATGAGTTGATTATTTTTCTAAGATTTTAGATTATTGGGAAAGTCCAAGAATTATGGAATTATTGATGGAAAATGTAGTAAATTAGCTATGGAAAGGCGGGTTAGCTTATTCAATTATTTAAGGAAAAGGGCTAGAATTGTTATACTGGGTTGGATGAAGTTCAGTTTATTGAGGCCCAAATTTTTCTCTTTCATTATAGTCCTAAACTAAACTATCATATGTCAATCAATCCTAACTAATTGTCAAATCTTCACGACCCAAGACACATTTACAAACAAATCACATGGCCTAATTTATTAACTAATTAACCAAATATAAAGTCTAA